AGTGATGCCTCTCTAGTATTCTTTCTTGGCCTCTAGTGTGACAGCCCTCAAGGACCTCGTGAGCCACAGTTCATATCTTTGTATTCAGTAGCTTTAAATGGATTGTTTCCAACTTCTTACATCCATGGTACTGTGGAAGAGTTAATTACGTAAGTGTTATCTTAAAAAGCCCATGAAGCAATTAATACTTTCAGTTGATGATTTTTGTAGTTGCCTGATTGTAAGGCAATAAGTAATATTTCTCTATCCTTTTCTTGTCATTTGTTGTATATAGCTTCTGGTCTCTAAATGTTGGGTTTTACTAGTTCTTTCTGTACAATCTACCATGGTGTTTAGGAAGCAGTCCTTTAGTACGCATCAAGAGTAATTTGCACTTAAATACATAGTTTGCAACTTGCAGATTTCCCTAAAGAATCCAGCAGAGTAGCTGCCTCTTCAGTATACTAGAACACTCTAAGTCTTTTAGCAAAACGAGTCAACAAGCGTCGTTATGCTGAACTGAATTTCTGCAGAGGTCTTGCTGAAGCCAGCACAGTATCAACACTTGCTGAAATACTTTGCTGATTGCAGTTGTGGTAGCTTATTTTAGAAGGTATTTTATGCAATCAGTATTCTAAATACCCACTGGAAGACCAAAATCAATGTTAGCGATGTCTTCAGTGAATGGTTACAATGTGTTTTCTCTCCTCTGGCAACAGGTTGTCTTGGCTCGAGAGTTGGCAAGTTCCAGAGAATATGCCAGTAAGTATTGATACCTTCAACATGGACGTGCGCGAATACGGTATCAATGTAGTCCTGTTACAAAACACCTATCCAAAAGACAGAATTAGTGGTTTTGCGATAATCTTATCTAAGAAAAGAAGCCGCAGCAATCAAAGTACTTAGACGAACTTCATTTGGTTGTACCTCCTGCATTTTCACTCTGTCTTTTTTTAATTAAGTTAAAATTCTAGAAAAACGTCATATCATAAAAGAAAACAAGGTGCCATATGTGACACGAGAAAGAGATGTAATGTCCCGCCTGGATCACCCTTTTTTTGTGAAACTCTACTTCACCTTTCAGGATGATGAAAAGCTATGTATCCTTTGCGTTTTAAAACTTGCTGTAACACTTTCTTAAAAGTAACAGTCCCCAGTTGTGGTTCCTTTGAAACATTGTCTAGCAGGAAGGATGAAAATAACTAGAGGTGTTTTAAATATCTTAATGTTTGCAATGCAGGTTTTGCAGTCATGCTTTTAATAGAAATTAAGCAAAAAAAATGAGTGTGTCCCCTCAAAGAGAAGAGTGGGTGACCTGCAGGACAGGGGACATGAATAAAACAAGAACTTACGTTGTTCATGAGGTAGATGCTGTGTTTAAAATAGGGGCAGCCAACTATATGTACTGCTAGTTCTTATTTAAACAATTAGATCTATTAAAATTTTTCTTGCATAAAAGCGCTTACAGAATAAACTGAATGACAGAAAACTGCAACTCTTCTGTTTGGGCCACTGCTTCCCAAGTTCTCTCTCTAGCAATAATTGCTAGAATAATTTAATAAGTGCAGTTTCATCTTGAAAGCTCCTTGTAGTCAGCTTTTTTGTTTTTCTAACTTGTAAAGAAAATGTTAATCACGTGAATTTCCTCCTGAGCTTCCTGCTGTGCTGAGGGTAGGAGGATGAATTGGCCTCTCTGTGGGGTCAGTAAGGGTGGGTGTTTTTGGAGGCTGCCAGCAGTGCTCGCAGGCCCTGTGTTGTGTGTGCACATACACACCTACACCAAGCGCCATCAGAACTTACAGGGGCTCTCTTTTGTGATGTAAACATTTGCTCATTGAGCATGGGGCTGACTTTGGAACTGTCAAGATGAGGTGGTGACTTTAAACTTGGGTTTAATGCTCGTTATGACTGTAAATATTTCTCTTTGAGGGCAATTGTGTATACAGGTCAAATTTGGGTGACTGTCTGGAAAAATGACAAGTTTAACCCTTTGTGTAGTCTTTGCTACGCTAAGAAATTGAGACCTCTGTTGTAGCCTCTTAAAATATTTAAGAAATTGTTTTGGGTTCCTACCCTGTAAAGTTTCAAATTAACCAACCTAGTTCTTCCCCATTGCTAATGTATTTTTAGTGTTATTCTCGTCTTTGGAATGAAGTGTGGAGATTTTTGTTTTAGAATGGTTTCGTGATAGACCTTGACTATACTTGCATTCAGATTTTGGGCTTAGCTATGCCAAAAACGGAGAGCTGCTAAAGTACATACGCAAAATTGGCTCATTTGATGAGACCTGTACCAGGTTTTATACTGCTGAAATTGTATCAGCCCTGGAGTATTTGCATGGGAAAGGAATAATTCACAGGTAATACAAAGTTGAGACCAATGTGCGGTTTTGTTGAATGAGTGAGATGCACAATGGCTTGGGTTTGAGATTATTCATTACTTCAGGTCTTTATAGAAATAAATGTTAACTAATGGGCTTTTGCAAATATGTTAGCAGTTTGCATGTTGACAGCTACCAGTTAGAGGAGAAGTTGATGCACCAATGTTTAGAGAATGTCTGCATCCTTTATGACAGCATTATGTACCTAAGTCGTTAGGCAGTTTTGCAACTTTATTTTGTGTGCTGTTTGAATATAAAATCTGCCTTTTCCAGGGACCTTAAGCCAGAGAACATCTTGCTAAATGAAGATATGCACATTCAAATAACAGACTTTGGAACAGCGAAAGTATTATCTGCAGATAGCAGACAAGGTATGCCATTGCTTACTTCATCACGTGACACAGGTAACTGCAGCAAGTGGTCCTTTGAAAATGTATGTCTTGTCTTTACCAAATTGAAACCTTCAAATACCATTACCTGTTATCTAACAAAATCGCTGCGAGATCTTGAAGCGGTTTTGACCATCACTGCTTCAACTATGTCAGAAGAGGTAATATTTTGTGTAGTGGTATAGCCAGCTAGATCACCAGTTATAGCGGGATTGAATTGAATTTGGGTTGACCAAAAAGTGATTGCCTTTTTTTTTAACATATGGGTATACGTGTCTTGAAATGTAACTAACTTCATTTTAAACCACAAATTCAGTGTATAACTTGACAGCTGATAGTTCAAGCTTATTTTAGAAAAATGAAGTGCATGATTTCATTAATTATTTGGTGTCAATTTCAAAATGGAAAATCAAAAGAAACATTTTCATCGTATTTTATCACAGAATGATAGAATGGTTTGGGAGGGACCTTAAAGATCATCTGTTCCCACCCCTGCCATGGGCAGGGACACCTCCACCAGCCCAGGCTGCTCAAAGCCCCGTCCAACCTGGCCTTGGGCACTGCCAGGGAGGGGGCATCCAAATCCATTCTGCTGTATTACTTCTGAAAAGGAAAATACACTGTGCAAGCTCAAAATTTGTGAAGTGTATGGTGGAGATGCCTTAAAACTACAGCAGTGTCAGAATGGGTTTGCTAAATTTCGGTCCGAAGATGTTGATGTTAAACTTGCACCATGCTCAGGAAGGTCAGTTGAAGTTGATAACAACAAAATAAAGGCATTGATCAAATCCAGTTGGTGTTTAACGACACGAGAGATTGCTGATAACATATAGAAATCGAGCATTGAAAACCATTTAGAACAGCTTGGATACGTTAGGAAGCTCAGTGTTTGGGTACCACGTGAGCTCAAAGAAATTAATCTCGCTGAGCAGTTGACATCTGCGATTCTCTTGAACTGTGAAGAGAACGACCCATTTTTGAAATGTATGATAACAGGTGATGAAAAATGGATCATCTGCAACAATGACGAACAAAAAAGATCGTGGAGCAAGCGTGATGAACAGCTCAAAGCACTTCAAAAGCAGATACTCACCGTAGGAAGGTGATGCTGTCAGTCTGGTGGGATTTCAGAGGTGGTGTGTATTTTGCATTGCTGCCGAGGAACCAAGCTGTTAATTCGGATGTGAGCTGTCGTCAACTGGAGAAGTTAGATGCCATCAAACCAGAAGTGTCCAGAAGTGGTGGATCGCAAAGGTGTTGTGTTTCTCCATGATAATGCCAGACTGTGCAAGTTTGGTCGCTTGTCAAAATCTGTTGCAGCTTGGTTGGGCTGTGTTACCACATCCACCAGATTCGCCAGCCCTGGCACCACCAGACTGACATTTGTTTTTTTTCTTTACAAAATTCCTTGAATGGTAAAACCTTCACTGCTGGTGAGGATGTCAAATTGTTCTTGGAACTGTTTTTTGCCAAAAAAGATAAGAACTTTTTTTGGACACGGAATCATGAAGTTGCCTGAAAGATGGCAAAAGGTAATTGAACAAAATGTACAAATATATTGCTTAACAAAGTTTTTGTTTCCCATGAAAAACTGACCTTTAATTTGCCCAGAAAAAACATGCAATTACTTTTTGGCCAACCCAGTTGATCTCACTGAGATCGATTTGTCTCTTCCAAGCAGGTTTTGTGGATGGGAAGAGAAATGAAATTCCCATGGGTTCTTTATAGCGTGACATAACTCGCAGTGGATTGCTCTTGACTGGTTGGTTGTATTTGCTTATTTCTTTCCATTTTCTTGCCAGCGCGGGCAAACTCGTTTGTGGGGACAGCGCAGTACGTTTCTCCAGAGCTGCTGACGGAGAAATCTGCCTGTAAAAGGTGAGGACTCGACTGCATTTCAGAGCTTGACTGACTCTGTCAGGAGCCCATCCAATGGGCAGGAGGGAATAAAGCAAACAAGCTTAGTATTTCAAAGATACTAGATGCTTGAATATAAAGGTTTTGTAAGAGAGTTTGAAATACTTTTTCTTAACAAGTATTACTTCTTGTCTGAATGCTGGTTTTGTCTGTTCTAAGTTAAGGAGTTCTACAGGCAGGGTTAGATGTCAGGAGAAGGTGTGTAATACGAAATTGGATTTCTCTTATCCATAAATAAATCAGAAATTTATTATTATCCAAATAATATAATTATGTAATTCTGATTTATATAAGCTCATTCTAATATGGTAATTACTAGCGTAAAAGCAACAGAATGTCGCATTCTGCCTGTTAGGGGAAAGGTTACAGCTTTCTTTGGCTTGTATTTAGATCAACTTGCAGTTGTCTTTGCTGAGTTCTACTGGAGGTTTGCAGTGGTTTAAAGCTCGTATCTCTGCCCAGTATGAGTGATACCTTTAAGAAAATTAAATTGGTTCTTGATGACAACCTACAGACTGTTGTATACCTATTTTATTACCGTGATGGAAGAATAATCAAAGTAATCACAGTCACATCATGGGGAAAAGAGATTTCTTATATGAGTACTGTGAAAACTTATGCTGCTGTTTCTTGAAATGGTAGAAATACCATTAGACTTTGCCATTTAGTAAAGAGGTTTAGACTGGTCTGGCTGATGGAAAGACTTCATCAGGCTTTCGTCTCCTTTTAGAAGTTACATCATGCTTCATCTTTACAGAAAACTCTGAGTTTGAGTAGTTTTGAAGTCCTTCATAGTATTTTAGTCTTCCATGAGGATTTCTAAGCTTCAATCAAATCTATCTATAGTTTACCTTGAGGTAAAATAAATTAAAAATACTCTTTCAGGCAAACGCACTGAAACTTAAGACTTTCCCTCACTCATGTACAATATATCCTGCCTTTTTGTTTGTGTCTTAAGAAAAGCTTTGGTGAAAAAGCCATATTGTGACTTTTTTTTAATACAATATTTAAAGGAAAGGATTTTAATTCTGAAAGAGCATATATTACATTAAGTTGGATGTATCTTTGCGTTGTAGTAGTGGATAATAACTCAAATTTTAGGTCTCATTACATACTCATTAATTATTTTGACTGAGAATTGAGCTGTTTTGTACCTGTGCTTGTAGTCAGCTGTGGCATGGTTACTGTATGCTTTTTTTTCTCTTAGAGTTGTGTTGCTTGCCTACTCTTCTGTCAAGGAATGAAGTGAAAATAGTGTGGAAATTATTCTAGGTGTGTTTGTCCGGTGTGTTTGTGCCATGTTCTAACTACCAGAAGAATTTGGTTTTTGTATTACAGTTTAAAGACTTATAGGAAAACATGCTATGTGGTTTTTTTGCTCTTTCTTTTGAAGCTCTGACCTCTGGGCTCTGGGATGTATAATATATCAGCTTGTAGCTGGATTGCCTCCATTTAGAGCTGGGTAAGAAATTTAAGATAATTCTTTACATGTGGATCCTAAATAAATTGACTTGGTTTTGGCTTTTACCTTACTACCAGTTCTGAAGTACAAACAGTTAATGTCATGCCTGCTTTTACTTGTCCTTTCTGATGTCGTGAAGGTGCTTAGACAGCTGTAACTAGAGTTCCTGAGAGAGATTCCTTAATTGAGCTTAGGACTTCACACATAACTTTCACCATAAAGGTAATTGTGCCTACATGGAGAGCAGGGTATGAGACACCTCTGTATTGAGCCATTTGAACTTTTCTCGTTGTTCAAGTATCTGGTGCTTACAGGATCACAGATACTTGTAAGACTGTACCCTTTTACCCTAGAAAGATTTATGGGAATGTGACCTAACTTGTAGATCTCTGTTTAATATTTGTTCAGGGTATGCACTGTTAAGGTAAAAGAACCATGGAGACCTAATAATAAGAACTAATATTTTTCTCTTTTGCAGAAATGAGTATCTTATATTCCAGAAGATAATAAAGTTGGAATATGACTTTCCAGAAAAATTTTTTCCCAAGGCAAAAGACCTTGTTGAAAAGCTATTGGTAAATATTTACTGCTGTTAAATGAGTTGATGACATTGGAAACATTCAGCTTACGTAGTTTTTTTTCCTAATATTTCTGTGCACTCTGTTGCAAACCTTATAATAAGAACGGCTGAGCATTATTGACTGCGTAGGGGAGTGACTTGAAAATCAACGACCATTATTAAGCAGCAGTTAGATTATTACTTTTTAATTCTGAATTCTAAAGCATGGACAAGGAATGTCTCTCAGTGAAAAGGAAGCGAATGGTTTTAAATACTGTGCATTACACACAGAAGTTAAGGTTCAGATACTTAGGTTTACATAGTACTCAGATTAATTCTTGTTGATTTGTACACTGAATTGTTTAGTTGAAAACAGTGTTCTGTACCTCACAGGGAGATATATTCATTGCAATGTAAATCAACTTACCTTGCATTTTGGCATGCACTTACCTTGCACTTGATGCATGTCTCAGTAGTGTCAGCCAAATAATTACCCTGCATGTGAATGTCTGACAGATAGGAAGAAAAAATAGTCTGTCTCATTAGCGAGATGTAGCCATGGCACTGAAATGAATGAGCAGAGAACATTGTGGGTGGGATAAGCTTTTTGAAGTTCACTGGTCTAGTGTATTACCATGCTTGTGGGCGATGAGGAGCGCACCCGTTGTAAAGGGCCTAGCAGCGCGCTCCTGTGTCCAGGCCAGTCTGTGGCCACACCAGTGCCTGCT